ATCCATTCATTCATCCACCCATTCATCCATCCATCCATTCAATCATCCATCCATCCATCCATCCATCTATCCATCCATCCAATCATTCAATCATCCACCCATCTATCCATCCATCCACCCACCCATCCATCCATCTATCCACCCATTTATCCATCCATCCATCCATCCATCTGTTTCTACCTCCCTATTCCATGTTCTTAACTCAAGTGTTCACAAAGAACAGAAATGCAAACGCGAGGCATCATGAAATCAAGCGCTCGTCAAAATAATGAAAATGAAGAAACTGACATTCTTCCGCCGATTCGGCAATTAAAAATTATTTTTTTTTTTAGGCTCAACGCCTTTTACGTCCATCTAAAAACACGTTTCTGTGTGGATGTCACTGAAAACCGTTGATTAAAGGCACAAAAAAGTAAATTTCCATTTTCTTCGGACTCTCAAGCCATGGAAATAACCACAATGAGTTGGCCATTTTCTCGCCAATTCACATATATGAAACCAAGCGACCCCCACCTCCTTCAATTGCAAATACCTCGACATGTATTCAAGATAAGTGGGCATTTCTTTCATCGACAAAAAGACAAATGAACACAAATTAAGATGATACCAATAACTCCACAGGCTCAAAAATTGACGAGAGCCTGATTCCACCACGCCGTGACACAAATACAATAGATCTTTCTATTTTGATCTAATCGTTCAGACAGCAACGCACCGGCGGATAACGAGAATCGAAGGTAACTGAGTACCCTCCACAATTCACAAGTGTGAAACGAAAACCCATATCTCTTTGGGGGGGGAAAAAATCCAACCTCTAACAAACTAGTTCTTTGGATTTCAGTCCAATAAGGACACGCACGTCTACAAAAGAACGCTCTTAATTACGTAGATCTTGACAAAAGCAGGATTGATAGTTAGTTTTAACAGAGTTTTTACGGCGCTCACAACTGCATAATAAGGTCATATGAGCGCCAAGGGGTGGATGTCAACAGAGAAGTCTTTACAGGGAACCAGGCATACTTTGCCCACCTCTCTAGCTTCAACAGCACAAAGTCTGCTTCGACTATCAAGGCACCCCGGAAAAAGAGGGTCACAAGAGCATGACAAATATACAAAAGAAAAGAAGTAGAGAAAAAAATGACGATAGTAAGGATTAGGAGGGTAAAAGCAGCACAGTTCCCTGTTGCAGTTCAGGCACAATTATGAACATACCATTGGTGAAGCAGCCCATTTGCTATTCTACTGACAGCATAAGAACATGTTAGTGTCCCCCCTTTGGGAATGGCCCAAATACACTTCAGTCAGTAGCATCGCCCCGAGGGGTGTAGGATTGATAGATAGACAGGAAAAGACAAACAGAGGAAGAGTAATTGGGTGAACTGATTGTTTGTTGGAAGGTGTTGGAGTGTTTCTTTGCGTACGTGAGTGGTAGGTGTGTGTGTGTGGGGGAGGGGGGGGTGAGGGCCGGGGCGTTTGCAATGTGCGATGCACAATGTGTG